TTATGGCTTTATACGGATTGTATAGGGGTCAAGGCAAGTAAATGCTAACAAAATACTTTCAAACCTACCCTTGTTGGTCCGACCTTAGACAATTGTGCAGGACGCCCTATAAGCACAGAATTCTCATGACAGTATTACACACCCAAGGGATCCAAATACGCCGAAGTCGGCACTGTATATTATTCGTAGGCTTTAGGGCCCAATCTAGGTATCATGTATAGATTTGGATCCCCACCCAGAAGTGCTTTGGAATTTCGGATCCCCAGAAGTACGGGCCATCTCATGGGGGATGAGCTGCCTGAGCCACATGGGATGCCTGCAACGAGATACAGTGCTTGGGAAAGGTGGTTGGCCTACGGTCTAGGGGTTAATGGTTAGGGTGTACGTAGGGTCTGCGCATAGGTTAAGAACCCGAAAATGCTCAGCTACACCTCCTGCTGTACTCGTCTTCTTGCAGACAGGGCTTCGGCATCCAGCTGGATGAAGCCGTCGCAAATCAGCGGCACGGTGGTGACCTAGCATCAACTCCACACTAAAGCCACCCTCTCAGCTTTGTTTCCTGCTGTGTTTCTTCCTATGGAATTGTGATGATCAGCTGTAAGCCTTGTAAGCACAAAATTCCATAGCTAAGCCTTGGTGGCCAAGCCGATGACACGACGAGCAAGGACACTCCCCAAAACCATGGAACCCTATACCGCGCCTACAAAGATTAGAGTAATTCTGACTTCATCAGGACCCAAGTCAAAACAGCAAAGCAGAGCAGGGGACTACATCTGACAAGTCTTTGAGAAACACTACACTTTCAACCCTAAACCCTAACCCTGCAAACCTTACACCCTAAGCCCAGGTCTAATCACCGCTTCAAAAGCATGAACTTCCAACAACCATCTCCTGCACACACACTCCGAAAGACTGTAACCTCTTGACTAGGGACTCCCAAAAGGTGGGTCGTAGCTGTTCCTCAAAAGGCAAGAAAGACAAAAAGGACACAGTCCTCCTCCAGGCCTCAAGTTTTGCTGTTTCGGGGCTTTGCGGCTACCCCAAACCCTAACCCCTATGATCCGAACCCTGAACTCTAAACCCTAAGCCCGAGGCCTTAAGTCCCAACCCTAAACCATGTGAAAGCGCTCGCCTTGCTTGGGAAGCTTGATTGTTCCCCAAGCTGGTGTTAAGGGGGGAAGCCCTGCACCACCCTAAGTATGACAATCCTGGGAATGGGATTTAGGGTTTCGGGTTGAGGATTTTAGGGACTAGGGCTTAGGGTTGGAGGATTTTAGTGTTTGGGGTTAAACCCTAAACCCTTACTAAACCCTTTGGGGCTGAGGATTTTAGGTCGCGCAAGATTCCCCCATCCACATCATGCGAGTTCTCGAATCAAGGCCACCGGCTTCCCCTTGGTTTAGGGTCTAGGGTGTAGGGAATCCTGCGCTCTGGTCCAGTTGCACGGACGAACGGACAGGACTTTCACAAACCGCCTTTCCATCAGTACCCCTCCCTAAGCACACCCTCACGCAGGGTCCAAGGGATATCTAGTACGAGAAATGGACAGCATGAGGTGCATCACAAGTAACCTACAGAGTTTTGTCGCACTGCCCCCTTGTCTTTGGCTGGCTGATTCAGGAACCTTTTGTAGATTTCTTCTGAGATCAAGATCCAGACCGTTTCGGGCCACTCAGAAAATCTTGTCGACGTCGAGATGGGCATCTCCCAATTTGCAAACGTATCGGGTTGACGTGGAGCTTAAACCCAAACCCGCACACTCAACCTCGCGTTAGCACCGCCAAACCAGCAAGATTTTGTGGGTGTTCCTCAACATCACATTTTTCCGGGAAACTGCCGCAACCTTAGCTTGAACACCCCATGACCTCCAAACCCTAGTAGTAAGCCCTAACCCCCAAGCTCTAAACCTTGCATACCGAAAGCCCACATGAGTAGCGTTTGTTTGGTGGTTGACCCTGGTGAGATTCTGTTCTTTACAGAAAATACTATCCCCCAAAAGGAGAGTATAATCTTACTCTATGTTGGGGACTATCTTACTGGTTCGTAGTAGGGAATATGGCAATGTATTATATAGGTAGACATAGGGATATTCTTCCTCTATTCCTTCACTCAGGGCCAGTAAGCTATAACCCTAAACCCTATAAAGTATCCCCAAATAAAATACTACCCACGTCCGAAGGCACCTTGTTCTTGTAGGCCGTCACAATCTCCCCAGCACCTCAGTTCAGGTTGGGTTTACCTAATACGCTCACGAATAAGAAACAACGTGGCGCTCCTGTCGAAAAAAACGTCCCAGCGGATAACACGCGAGCGACACATGTTCTGTCGAACTGCCTGATCCCAGCTGCAGCTATCCTAATATCACCTCTCTGGCCCATGTAGGTATATGGTACATACATAGGGCCCACAGGAGCTCCCATGTAACTAATTCCAGGCCCAAGTACATGATATACACTTAACCAGAACCCAATATAAACATATATCTATATCAACATATACATACTCACATGTGTGTGTAAAAACTAAATGGACCAGGGTTTAGCGGTCAGGTTTAGGGGTGATGGACCGACAGCATTAGCTCAAGGAGCACATTTAGCATGCAACCGTGTGAAATCTGTATCCCTCACTAGCACCCAAACCCCAACCCATACCCTACACCCTAAACCCTGAATCCAACATCCGAAGCTCCTAAACCCCAAACGCTAAACCCCTCGAAGCCTAAAGCAACTCCCCCTCGACCCTGAGCGCAAAGGCCCTGGACGATTGACAGGTTGTGGATGGCGGAAATCTTGCGGGGTTTATCGTTCAGGGATTCCCAGTATAGTTTCAATCCTAGTTTTTAAGGTGGTGCAAGAGTGGTGCAAGTTCTCCAGCATCCACAGCTTGGACCTTAAACCCCTACAGCCTGAAGTCCAAACTCTAAACCATCCCTAAACCTCTATAAGCCTATAAACATCTGTAAGCCCTAGCCCCTTTCTCAAAGCTCAGGGCACACCACATGCGCTTCAGAAGCTCGGGGGTTTGCACCGTCACCACGCTCCTTAGCGAACAAATGTAGAGCCGCACTATGACACCCACTGGAGGACCCTGAAGTTTACGGTCTGGGCATTGAGTTCTATTTGAGGTACCAGATACGATAATTATATGAAGAACCTAGGACCAGAAGATTGGGGATAATAATTTAACCACCCGCGTTGCGCTCCCCTCACTTGCCCTAGTACACAGGGTATAAGGGGACGATATGAGGATAACATGCGGAGCTTATAGGGTTTAGAATGAGCCTGTGGAACATAAACCTTAAACCCTAACAGCACCACATGTAGGCTCCCTTTCAACGGGTAGTAGTCTTGTAGAGCGCCTTTGCAGATTCCAAGTGAGGGTTGGGGGTGCAAATTCATCAATCCAACTCTGCAGCTTAGTAGGCAAATCTTTCTTTTTAGGGTAGGGTTTACGGTTTCCGGATTTACGGTTTAGAAAGACAGCGCTGGGAGGGTCAATGCTGCGAAGCCCCAGACACTCAATCCTGCATCTAGGCTTCTCTCATGCAGCATCTTTTGAATAGCTCGGCAAGGAGTGAAGCACATGGAAACCCTTTTGTTCATAGGGCGTCGGGGTCCTTAAGTCCTTGGGTCCTTAAAATCTTAACGATCTAGCTATACAAGAAGGATCATGCTCGGAATCGCTCAGGCTACGATTTACCCCTGAGGCAGGGATCCTAAAACTAGTGCAAATCACTACATACTAGCTGAGCAGCCTCACAAGAGTTGCCAGGAGATCATCATTTGTGCTAGGCGCTAGTCATGTTTGGATTACCACTGTTCTTACTGCTCTTAGCATTATTAGGATTGTTTTGCTGTTCTATTATCCGTACAATTGCTATCATTAGCCATCGTTGGAAGTAACTATTACAATGATTGTCAACTAAAATTTCTATTTTGAATGCACGATGGGCTGATGGAATTGCAGGAGTCTTGGTGGCGGCTAAACGTTTCGTCCTAAGAATGACCATTATCCCCGCAAAGCTTTTCCAAATTTGGGACGTAATCAACAAAACCTGCACCCATCTAATACACATTCCTGTGCTACACAATCCAAACATACCGGCAAGGATTATCATGGTAGGCCTGGGGGCGCGTTTCGAAGGACAAGTGGATTGTTAAGGCTCGTGCAATGTGCACTCTTGCTGAAGGGATCCAAGTGTTCAGAAATTCAGGCCTGCCGTCCTCAAAACAGCTTCAACTCTCGCATCAATACGCGATACCCTCATATCATATTGGGGTGGTTGGAGGCTGGCGACTCAATTGAAAACAAGCATCTTCGTTGTAGCACGGATCGTGTCGAAGATAAGGTCCAAGTCCTTTCGGGTTTGCACAAGGCCCATATGGGGGTGGGGGGGGGTGCTCCCAAAATCAGGGCACCTTCTTGGCGGCCCCTACAATGAGGGTTATCGTATCTTGGGTTTGGTGCTTAGAGCTTATGGAGGCCGACTAAGGCCTGCTACGAACAGTAGTTAGCATCTCCTGTTTTGAGTTCTCCACTGGGTGGAATGGATTTTGCCTGGTTTAGGGCTTGAAAAGGGTCTAGGGTTTACATTGTGCTGCAGATATAGTCAAAGCTAACCTCAGAACCACACTCAATCGGGACCCAAGACGTCAATCTCACACGCGCTGGATGCTCTTGGTTGGCTTTAGGGATCTTTTCGAAAAAACTTCCAAATGGCATGTAAGAGTCAGTGAGCCCGGACGTGGATATGACAATTCAGCCATACCTAAGCTGGACGCCCTACATTTTGGAAACCTTTACCCACAGCGCATGGCTGATCCTCAGATCTTTTGATTCCGATTCTGTCGTGCCCTGCAAATACCTGCAAACGACATCTACCCCAAAGGGTACAGTGCCGAAACCTGCTACAGGATCCTTGAATTCTAAACCCTAAACCCTAAATACAGACCCCACAGAGATCCCTGCTTTTGAATATCATCTACTATATTATATAGGGTAATATAGGGGTTATATAATGGAAGCTATCGTAGTGTAATATGTGCTTTAAAGGAGGAAGCGAGCCTACAACAGCTGTACTCTTCCTCTCCACCTCAGACCCCGTATGACTTATGGCCTAGCACTTCCTTTGGACAGATCACCGCACATCAGCCACGATAGAGGTATTCTTGATGGACAAGCCTGCATGACGCTATGCGTAGTGTACTGCCATAACACCCCCATAGTTCAAAGGCTTGTTCTTATGAAGGGCTTGGGGTAACCAAAGTCCTCCTATGATCTATTAAGATTCCCGATACAATCGTGTATAACCCGCGTATAATCCCTTACAGTAGCATCTGTATTCTCTTTTGGGCTGCTGAAGTCTGCTACTGAGCCCAACCAAGTGCTATCCTTGGGTCCCAAGTTCGTGAACATTGAGTGAGGCTTTGTGGTATTCAAGCCCTTTCAGCTTAGAGCACTTGCTACAAGATCTGCGAGCCCAGAGCCCTGATCCCTGATCCCTAAGCTAGGTCCCAAACGCAAAGCCAGTACACCCTGAACCATCCGTCCGAAATTTCACGTGGAGGGTCAGGGGGTCTTAGTAAGTAGGTTGATGAATACCCCCCAAACCTACCTACTTAAGTCGAAACCCTAAGTCGTTTACATCCCCACCCATACATATCCCTAAATACCCATACATATCCCTGAAGCCCCTTCAGAGGAACTCCAAGCCCGCTCACCAATTGAGTTTCCCGAGCCGGTTTAGGGCTTAGGGTTTAGGGTTCAGGATTTAGGGCTTTGGGTTGGAACCTTGAGCCCTGTCCCTACACCCTCAACCCTACACCCTAGGTCCTCAACCCTAGCGCCTTAAATCCTAAACCCTAAAACCCAAAATCATCCAAAACCTTAAATCCGAAGCCCTTTGGCCTCAAGCTGGTCAGAGTCCAGGAACACATTCGTCGAACTGTGCCTCAAAATTAACAGGGCGGTTGGGGTTTAGGGTGTTGGATTTAAGGCTTAGAGTTTGCTTTTTTAGGTTTAAGATTTTTGGGGCTTAGCTTTTTGGCACGCTAGAACAGTGTTCCACCAGCTTTAATGAAATGAAGAGTTTCCCTTTTAAGCGTTCTGGGCCAGAATAGCTGCTCATGCTTTTACAATTGCTGGGAACATGCTGTTCAGAGCGACTCATTGTGGGGGCGGGGGTGCAGGGTGCCTACACGAATTAGGGTTTAGGGTTTAAGGTTTGGGGTTTGACGTTCAACAAGAGATGGGTAGCCTTACCTCCATCAAGATGAGGTCGCCACCGGGTGCATGCCCAAACGCCCATGCCTGGCAAGTTTCTGCCATCGTCACATGGTACTCGAATTCTCATGTTTGGGCCCGTGGCCACCTTTACGACATGCAGGCGTTCCACAGCCACCATCGCAGCTTACCCAAAGGGTCCATGTACCCAATAATTAGGTACTTGGGATTTGGGTAATAGTAATTATAGTACAGGCTTCGGGTAAGTATATGATTATTAGGTACTTGGACCCTTAGGGTTACTCCTACTACAAAGGCCGGCGTCAATCATGTGTACCAAATTCTAACCTTGCCTGATGGCCAGTTGGCCCCATTCACAGGGAGAGTACCACCTATGAACTTCACAAGATCAGTTTAGAAGCGGGTACAGCCTAAAGTTGGATTGAAAGTTGTTAAGCATCAGTCATAGACCCAACCCTTCAGTTCTATGCCCCCGCAACCTGAACCCTCAACCCTGAAGCCTGAAGCCCGGCACCCGAAAGCCCAAAACCCCAAATCCACAAACAAAACCAAAGCGGATTAGGATTTGAAGCTTGAGATTTAGAGTTTAGGGTTTAGAGTTTGAGGTTTAGCAAGGCTCTCTCCGCAAGTGCTGCTAAACCCTAAACCCCCTTCCCCCTATACATACTTTGGAGCCAAAACACCTCTTGAGGCACCCGCCTGAGACATGTGTTAGCCGCATTTTGTGGTTTCCCAAAAAAGGGGGACCCTGACATATACCCTAAAAAGCTATGAAGCTTTTTATAGGGACCCCCCAAAGAGCGGTACCCGATTTTTTTGGAAACCCCCATGTGTGTAGCCCCTATTAAACCCTCAAACTCCTAAACCCTGAACCCTAAGCCCTGAACCCTAAACCCTAAATCCTCCAACTCCCAAACCATGTACCCTACAACCCAAAACTATGAAACCCCGAACCCCCACAGGGAATCGCAGAAAGCCAATCACCTGCATCTGGCTTGCACATTTGTGTGCGGTGACAATAAGCAGATCTTACTATAGTCCCCCTTACGTAGATAGAATATACGGGTAATATAGGGATAATGGAAAAGAACATGGAAACTACCATTTAGGGTTTAGGGTTTATAGGCCCCCCTTAAGTAGATAGAATATGGCTTTGGGTAGATTATAAGAAGATCCCCATATACCCCATATTCTATCTATTCAAGGGGGACTATAACATGAGCCCCTGAGATTTGGACCTCAGGTAGGGATGCGATTGTTGCAGTGTCCTGTTTCTGGAGTTGGGGTACCAAAGCCTTTCACAAGCGATTCTTCCCTATAAAATCCCCTACAACCCGCCCCTACTCCCTCAGCCCCATTCTAGTAGCACCTGTATACCCTAAACCCCTAAACCCTAAACCCCTAATCCCTAAACCCCTTTGGGTTACCCAAATCACCTTTCTTAGCTAAAGCAAGCTCATAGCGCAAACCCCAACTACACAGACCTTGACCTCCGGTCCCAAGTATGCCCTCAAAGGCTTCAGGGTGTAGGGTTTTACATGGATCCTCAAAAGATGTGGCATAATGGTCTGTTCTAATGTCGTTTTCCTTTAAACGGATTTTTGGGCCATTTGTTCAGCCACTTTTGAGATTAAGGTAGGGCATAGAAATTGACCTCAAACACCAGCATCCTTAGAAAGGGTCATCTTCATGTGGCAAGGGTTTGGGGTTTTGGGCCGCGCCGATGATCCAAGGCAAACAACGGGACGCCATCCAGG